CTGGGAGAGGAGGATTTTCCTGATATCCAACTTAAACCTGCCCTAAGACAAATCCAGCCATTCCAGGAGGTTCTGGAGACTCCTCACGTCCCAAAGGATGGCCAGGGATGTGCTCCACACCAGCTGTGGCCCAGCAGGTCACCTCTGCTGCTGCTCCAGAATGTTCTGTCCCTTTTGGAGTGCCCAGAACCACAGGGAGATTTTCAAAAAGCCAGAATTCAAAGTCAGAAAGGCAAAATGGAACCTCCAGGAGTGCCACGAGGTGTTCAGGGAAGCTCAGAGGCTGGAGAACCTCGGGGGCTCTCCTGGATCCATCTCCTCGTGGCTTCAGAGCAGGAGCAGCAGAGCAGGATCCTGGTGGCAGCAGGAGGGAAAACGAGGAGCTGCAGCTCTGGCCACCAGTGCAGACACCCCAGAGCTCTGGAACATCTCCCCAGGGTTTGGGGGGTCCCAGCCAGTTCTGTCTCCTGAGCAGCACCCAGCCCAGGGACCTGCTGCTCCCCCTGCCAGTGGCCACTCGGCCCAGCAGTGTCAGAATTCATTTCCCTGGAAATCCCAGCCTGAAAGCAACAGCCTGGAAAAGCTGAGCTTGCAGACAAACACCGTTTGAGGTGTCGGAGGCTGAGGAAAAGCATCTGCAGCTCAAGCACCGCCTGGAGCATCACCCGAGGACGGGGCAGCTCCCGGGATGCTGCAGGGCCACAGCTCTGCTGTTCCCAAGCCAAATTCCCGGGAAATGCTGCTCCTGCCAGCCCAGCACGTCCAGACAGCGCAGAGAGGCTCCGGGGGAGCCGCAGCGGCCGCCACCGGCCCGCGGTCCCTGCGCCCTCGGCCGCATCCCGGCGCGGGCGGAGCGTGACCGGGCGGGTGAGCGGAATGGTTAAACACATTCCTGTGAGGCTGCTCCTCACAGCCTCGGAGCGTGACTGGGCAGGTGAGTGAAATGGTTAAAAACATTCTTAAACGCGTTCCTGCCCGTTCTTCCTCACAACCGAGGCTTCCCCGCCTCCCTCCGCTGGCAGCGGCTGCCTTTGGGTTGTGTGGCTTGGTGGTGCCCAAATAAAGCACGGAGAGTTCCTGCCTCGGCTCCTCATCCTCCCCCAGGGACAGCCCCGGGGGGAAGAGGAGCTCTCCGGGAGGGGGATGGAGAATCTCAGCCTCTCACAGGTGGGTGGAGGAGCTGGGGCACCACAGAGGTCAGTCCCACCCCTCCATCACCACCCGATGAAGGCTCTGCTGGTCTGGTCTCCCAGCCAAGAGCAGAGGGGCCAGAACTGGACCAGATGGTTCAAGCTGAGCTGACCCAGTAACTGGGAGGAGGAGGAGGAGCAGATCCATCTGACTGTGGGGGTGTCACAGAGCTGGCAGCACCTTCCAGAGCCCACCGAAGAGCCAAAGCAACGAGAACTCCACTCAATCTGTGCAGAACCAGCACTGTGCACAGCCAAGGCATCAGCAGGGCTGGAAAAGCAGTTCAGGTGGAGACCAGGCTGGGCAGGGGGTGCCAGGCCAGCCACTGGCACAGCAGAACAAACCCAACACCACAAGCAGAGCCCACCAAGCTCCCAGCTGGCACCGCCACCAAAACCACCTCGGACACGCATCCAGAACCTGCCCCGCTCCCTCCCTCCCACTGCTCCTCTGCTGCAGGGACCCGGATGGGCACGAGACACCCCGGATTGGCACGAAACGAGGTTAGGAACCAAGGCAGGGAAAACAAACAGGAACAGCTCTGCTGCAGCTCCCTCCATCTGCCAGCGCCCGGGTGACTCCCCAGATGCAGCCGCCTCCGGTTCCTCCGGCGGTTCCAACACCCCTGGAGAGGTGAGAACGTCAGGCACAGGGAGAAGAGGCAGCATCTTGCAGGCAGGAGACCTCTCAGGCTGGGAATCCTGGGCAAACATGGTGCTTTTCTCTCCAGAGGAGGATGGGTGGCCACACCTCGGGATGCTCAGCTTGGGTTCCAGCAGCATCACCCCATTCCTTTGGGATTTCTCCTCCCACCACGCTCCCAGCAGACAGCACAAACAGAGGTTTGGCCATGCCAAACCCCACGGCATTGTCAGGCCAGAGGCACAATTCCTGTGCTGGCAGCGGTGCCAGCACATCCCTCACCGTCTGGGCACCTCTGCAGAGCCTGATCCCAGGCTTTGTCCTAAAATCAATCCAGCCTTGCCTGTTGAGCCTAACGTGTTGTGCCAGACAGCTGAGTGGTGGATTCCGTGCTCTCCAGCCTGCACAGGGATGCTCTGCTCCCTCCCCTCGGGCTCAGTGCTGATCCCAGCCCTGGAACAGCTCGTTTCCCCCAGGCAGCTGATCCAAGTCATCCAAAATCAGGCCAAGCAGGTAGTGAGTGATGCAGAGAGGTCGCCCTCCCTCGCTCCCTTTCGTGCCTCACCAGGGCTGTCACTGCTTCCTCGGCTCTGGAGCCAAGGGCTGCTGCTGGCACAGGCACTGGGAGCATATGGCGAGCCCTAATGGCACTGGGAATGGGGCTCTCCACACATTCCTTGGGGAAAAGCACCCTGGAAAGCAGCAAGCAAAGAATTCTGCTGCTGCAGACAACGCTGGGCTCCCACCACCCCACCGTGCCCCTGGGCTCTCCCACATTCCAGCAGGACCTGCAGGTGTCACCTGCTCGGTGGCCAGGGATGGAAAAAGCCCCTTAGGACCCCATCCCACACGGGCAGGGCAGGTTGGGGGGCTGCTCCCAGGACATCTCCCCAGGATAGAGGGAGGTTTTCTAGGTGGCCTGACCAAGCAGAGAGCTCCAGGAGCTTCAGAGACACCAAGCCACCCTGCAGGACAGGGACAGTGCCTCCTCTGCAAAGCCCTCATCTCACCAGGCTGAGGACACCTCCCCATGTTCTCCAGTGTCCCAGGGATAAAAACAGCCCCAAAGTCATCTGGTTTTGGCCCCGTGGTGGCCCCCCCAGGTCCCTGCCCAAACAAAAGGGTTTGCACCTGCAGGTGTCACCTGCTCGGTGGCTGGGGATGGCAAAAGCCCCATGGGACCCCATCCCACAGGCAGGGCAGGTTGGGGGGCTGCAGGGCATCTCCCCAGGATAGAGGGAGCTTCTCTGGGTGGCCTGGCCAAGCAGAGAGCTCCAGAAGCTCCAGAGAGATGAAGCCACCTGCACGACAGGGACAGAGCCTTAAACCTGTCTCTCTGCAAACCTCCTCATGTCCTCCAGTGCCCCAGGGAAAAAATCAGCCCCAAAGTCATCTGGCTTTGGCCTCGTGGTGGCCTCCCGGGGCATTGTCCAAACAAAAGGGTTACACAACTCCTGAGTGGAATAACCCTGCAGAGAGAGAATGATCCTCACACAAGGACAACCACGCACCAGCCCAAACACACCCGAATGTGCCGACAGCAGCACAACGGCAGCCAAGAGCTCAGACAGGGCCCTCTTGTGCAGGAGCAGGGCCTGGGTGGCTTCCAGGGGTTCCTCCACACCCTGCCGTGGTTGTAGCAGAGCCATCCACAGCCCTGGAGGAATGTTCTCTGAGGAGGAGCCTCTATCCGTCCCCAGGATGGGTGCCAAGGAGGGGATGTCACGCTGGGATGGCTCAGGGGGCTCCAGGATGAGGCACCAACCGTGAAAACACAACAACTTCTTTCCAAGCAGCTCCCATCTCATCTGCTCCTAAAGGATTTTTTGGGGGGGTCTATTTGTCCAGCTGTGCTGGACCCTGGCTGTGGTGGCCAGAGCTGGGCCACAGCAGAGGCCAGCCCAGGAGGAAATCTTGCAGTGTCACCATCCGGGCTGTGTCCTGTCCCAGGACAGCTCCGGGTCACAGCCACCTCCCCTCCCGGGATGCTCAGCCACCCCCAGCCCCACTGGCTGAGCATCCCCACGCTGGGGCTGCCAGGATGTCCCCACACCCTGAGCATCACCCACACCCAAGTGACTCTTTCGGGTGCCCGTGGGAGGACCGTGGCCAAAACCAGAACAAATCCTGGGATTCGTGGATGGGAACGCAGCCACCAGCCCCCAGAGGCTGTGACAGCAACAGAGATGGGTGCGGGGGAGCCGTGGGGGCTGCGGGCTCAGCCCTTGTCCCCACCGTGTCACCTCCCACCCGCACAGCCCTCGGGCCCGTCCAGAACCCCCTCCCCGCTCCTGATGGACCGCAGGGATGTGGATGGAGACCGGACCCACCGCCAGCACCCCCAGACCACAACACGGAGGGTCCAGCCCAGCCCCCGGCCGCACCTCCCCACCCAAACACACTGAGCAGCATCGCTTCTGTCACGACAGACGACTGCCGACACGGCAAACGGAGCCGCCAGCAGCCAGACAGGGATGGCGGGTCCGAGCCACCGGGGCCACCCCGCAGGGACCCGCAGCGACGGGGGACGCGGCGCTGCCACCGGCGAGCCCCGACAGAAATCACGCCCGCTCCGTGCCTGTCGCGACTATCGCCGCCGGTGAACCCCGCCTTTGTCCGGCGAGCCCCGCTCATCCCGGCGGGACGGGGAGCGGCGGCCGCTGCCGAGCCCCCCGCCCATCCCGGGGAGGCGGCTCCCAGCGGAGGCACCGGGGAGCCGCCCCAGCTCCCCCGGGAGCTCCATCCGCCCCTCCGTGTGTCACCGCCGAGCCCCGGCACCCTCACGGCGGGGCGGCTCCGCCGCACCGGGGACTCTCCATCCGCCCCCCCGCCTCTCCGCGGGCAGCGCCGGGAGGGGCCGAGCGCCGCCGCCGCCGCCCGCCGGGGCCTGTCTGGAACCTTCCGCCGCGGCCATGAGGGGACACGACGGGCAGCACCGGCGCCGCCGTGACCTTGAGCCCCGCCGGCCGCCCGGGGAGCCGCACCCGCAGGCGGCGGCAGGGCGGGCCCCGAGGGCCGGGCGGGGCGGGGGGGGGGGAACCTGCCTGACCCACATAACGGCGCCGCCGCCGCCGCTCCCCGCACCTGTCGCTCGCTTCCCCGCATCCCCCGCCATGAGGGGCGGGGATGAGGAGGGAGCTTCGCCCGCTCGCCGTGCCGCCACTCACCGTCGCGGGAGAGGTTTCCCCGGGCGCTGCCGAAGCAGGCGATGAGCAGGAGGATGCCGAGGGCCGGCGGCTGCATGGTGGTGGCGGCGGCGGGAGCCCGCGGGGCCGGCGCGACCGAGCCGCAGCGCGGGCGGCGGGCGCTGCTCTCTCTCCGCTGCTCCCTCAGCTCTGGAGCCGGCGGTGCGGCAGCGGCGGCGGTTAAATAGAGCGCGAGGAAGAGACCATTCGTGCCGGGGGCCGAGGTCCCCGTGATTCCCGAGGTCCCCGAGAGCCCCCAGAGCCCCCGAGGTCCCCGTGATTCCCGAGGTCCCCATCCCGCCCCCGATGGCTCAGGGTGTCGTCCCCGGACCGGATCCCCCGCCATGGAAAGGGGTGTCGCCGGTGTGGCGGAGGAAACGGGACCGGTCCCACCTCTCGGCCGGCGGTGTCCCCGCGATGGGCCGTGTCGCTGTCACCCGGCTGGGTGGATGGAGCACGGTCGCTTTGGCTGGAGCAGAGACGCTGGGATGTCACCCGTGCTGGGGCTGGGGTGTCCCCTGTGCTGGGGTGTCACTCCCGCTGGCATGTCACCCGTTCTGGGGTGTGACATGTGCTGGGATGCCACCCTTTGCTGGGGTGTCACCTATGCACCTAGGGTGTCATTCGTGGTGGGGTGTTGCTCTCAGTGGGAAGTCACCTGTACTGGAGTGTCACCTGTGCTGGGGAGTCACCCATGCCGGAATGTCGCTTGTCCTGGGGTGACACTCTCACTGGGGTGTCACCTGTGCTGGGATGTCACTCATGTTAGGATGTCACTCTCGCTGGGATGTCACCCATGCTAGGATGCCATCCTTGCCGGGGTGACACCAGTGCTGGGATGTCACCTGTTCTGGGATGTCACTCTCACTGGAATGTCACCCAAGTTAGGATGTCACCCTTGCTAGGATGTCACCCTCACTGGGGTGTCACCTGTGCTGGGGTGTCACTCTCACTTGGATGTCACCCGTGCTGGGGTGTCACCTGTGCTGGGGTGTCACTCTCACTGTAGTGTCCCCAGTTCTGGGGTGTCACCTGTGCTGAGATGTCACTCTCATTGGGATGTCACCCTTATTAGGATGGCACCCTTATTAGGATGTCACTCTCACTGAGGTGTCACCCTTGCTGGGGTGTCACTCTCACTTGGATGTCACCCGTGCTGAGGTGTCACCTGTGCTGGGGTGTCACTTTCACTGTAGTGTCCCCAGTTCTGGGGTGTCACCTGTGCTGAGATGTCACTCTCATTTGGATGTCACCCTTATTAGGATGTCACCCTTGCTAGGATGTCACCCTCACTGGGGTGTCACCCTTGCTGGGGTGTCACCCTCACTGCAGTGTCCCCAGTTCTGGGGTGTCACCCTTCCTGAGCTGTCCCCTGTGTGACCCAGCCCATCGCCGTCCCTTGTCCCCCCCAGCCTCACATTTTGGCACATTTGGGGTGGAGCCCGCTCTGTGCCAGCCGCTGAAGCTCGGTGCCCGTTCCTGGCATCTCCCTGGCAGCTCCTTTATCCTCCCTCACCCGACCGTGTCTCACCCACCACCTGATCCCGCAGCTCTGCTCTCAGCCCGGGCATTTCCAGCTCTGCGAAACACCCCCAGCTCGTTTTTTAACCCTTTTTGGGAGCTTTCCCGTGCAGCCCTTCCCCAGGTCATCACTGTGGGACAAAACCTCTGAGCCGGAGATGAGATTTTTTTTAAAACTTTCATTCCACTGGACCTAAAAACTCTCTCCAAATCCATTTCCCACGGGCACCAACCCCTCACGGGCTCCTCTGAGGAGCTGCTCCGAGGCTCCTGCACCGGAGCTGTGCCAGGGATGGCTCCGTTAGTCACAATTCCCGTGGGAAGAGCCCGTGGGAGGCACGAACAGCTCGGTGCCGCTCCCTGCCCCTCCCCGCGCTGCCTCCGGCTCCATCCCGCTGTCCGGACGTGGCCCTGCAGGTGACTAAAATTGCAGATTTGGGGGTAAATTTGGGGGCAGGAGGGTTTTACCGGGTTTTTGCTCCTTGTCCGGTTGGAGAAGGGCTCCCCATGGGAGGCAGGAGCAGCTCGGTGCCGATCCCTGCCCATCCCACTCTCCCTCCATCCTCCCGGACGTGGCCCTGGAGGTGACTAAAATTGCAAATCTAGGGTCAGATTTGAGGCCACAGGAGGCTTTTCCCAGGTTTTTGCTCATTGTCCGGTCGGAGAAGGGCTCGGGAAGGGCCCGCGGGAGGCAGGAGCAGCTCCGTGCCGCTCCCTGCCCATCCCACTCTCCCTCCATCCTCCCGGACGTGGACTTGCAGGTGACTAAAATTGCAAATTTAGGGTCAGATTTAGGGTCAGGAGGCTCTCCCCAGGTTTTTGCTCGTTGTCCCATTGGAGAAGGGCTCGGGAAGCGCCCGCGGGAGGCAGGAGCAGCTCCATGCCGCTCCCTGCCCATCCCACTCTCCCTCCATCCTCCCGGACGTGGCCCTGCAGGTGACTAAAATCGCAAATTTGGGGTCAGATTTGAGGTCAGGTGAGGCCACTGGAGGCTTTTCCCAGGTTTTCCCTCCTTGATCTCTCGGAGAAGGGCTCGGGAAGCCGCGGGATGTGGGAGCAGCATTGGGAACCCCTCTCTGCTCGGCTCCTGGAGCAGGGAGAGGGTCCCGTGGGATGGGGGCGAGCTGGGCCGGCTCTGGGGGGTGTGGGTGGCTCCTGGCCCCTCACTCAGCACTGGGGGGGCTGTTTGATCTGGAAAAGGACGGTTTTGGGGTGCGCTGGCTCTCCTGGGGATTTTTTGGGGGGGATCCCCCAGCACTCCGGGATGTCCGTGCTCCCCGCGGGCTGTGCCAGAGCTCGGAGCCCCTCCCGGAGCCCCCTCGGACCAGGCTGTCCCCTGTCCCTGTCACACCCCGGGAGCTCCAAGAACGCCTTTTTAACCCTTTCCCTTCCTCCTGCTTCCCCCGACCCGCGTGGGTGCAACGCCCACTCCCCATCACTCGGGCAGGGCAGAGGAGGAAGAGGAGGGAGGAAGAGGAGGGAGAGGAGGTGTTCAGCGTGCAGCGGGTGCCGAGGCGACGCTCGCCACAACAAATCGCTGTGATTCAGCCCCGGAGCATCTGCTAACGAGCTCGGGGGAGCCGGACTCCTGGATGTCCGTGCTCCCCGCGGGCTGTGCCAGAGCTCGGAGCCCCTCCCGGAGCCCCCCCGGACCAGGCTGTCCCCTGTCCCCTGGGGACCAGGCTGTCCCCTGTCCCTGTCACACCCCGGGAGCTCCAAGCACGCCTTTTTAACCCTTTCCCTTCCTCCTGCTTCCCCCGACCCGCGTGGGTGCAACGCCCACTCCCCATCACTCGGGCAGGGCAGAGGAGGAAGAGGAGGGAGGAAGAGGAGGGAGAGGAGGTGTTCAGCGTGCAGCGGGTGCCGAGGCGACGCTCGCCACAACAAATCGCTGTGATTCAGCCCCGGAGCATCTGCTAACGAGCTCGGGGGAGCCGGTGGCACGCAGCAGCTCTGCCGAGGCGTCCCGGAGCCCCCGGTAACGGAGCCGGGGAGGACGGAGCTCCTCAGCTCCCGTTTCCCCAGCTGCTCTCGGGTGCCTCTGGTTCTGCCACAGGAGTCAAAGCTTTGTCACCTCCTCGCCGTCTTTGTCACCTCCTCGCCAGGTGGGAAGGGCTGTGCCGGGTGTGGGTGGCACACCTGGGTGGGTGAGGAGCAGCACACCTGGGCAGGGGCCAGCAGGTCTCAGTGGCCTCCTGCTGCCAGGGGCACCTGTGGCACCACGCCAGCCCCTCAGGGGAAGGATTAACCCCTCTCTCGAAGTTCATTTTCCACCCAGGCCCAGCTGGAGTGTGGAGCTAAAACACTTCCCGGAATCCCTGGGCAATGCCAGGGGTGATCTTCCCCCTCTGCTCCTTCAGATCTCACAAATCATCTGTTTGACCGTTCTTTCCTCACAGCTCCCGAGAATTTCCTCTCTGAGCATCTGAATTTAATTATCTGTTGGCTTGCCACCCGTCTCCTGACTTTTAGGATCAGGCCAGAAGCTCCTGCCTTCCCTTTGCAGTCCCTCCAGTGCCTGCTGTCTCTGGGATTGAGGCTGGAAAATGGAATAAATCCTTCCAAATCACCAAACAGGCTCCACAACACATTTCCCTTTCGAAAACCACGTTTGCTGCCACCCCAGGCAGGGATGGCATCTCCCTGGAGGCTCTGCAAAGGCACAGAAATCTCCAGGGAAGCCGTGGGAGATGCTTCCAGCATCCCTGTGGGATCCTCGGTGCCCAGAATCACTTCCTTTAACCTCTGTCGCTCCTCGTGTGTTCCTGCTGCCTCTCCCACACGCTCAGCCCTGTTTGTTTTTATACCTTGCCTGATTTTGCTCTTCAAAAAAAAAAAAAAAAGCGCCCTTCATTAGCCCCACGCTGGGTTGGAGTGTTTGCTCCTGTCTGGTGGCACTCCTCAGTCCTGGATTCCCTGCTCCACGCTGAGCTGAGCGCTTCGCGGCATCCAGCGGCTCCAGATTCCCAAATTCCGCCCAAATCCGAGCCAAGAGGAGCCTCCCTTGCTGCGGGGGGTGGGGGGGACGGAGCTGCGTCCCTCCCTGCCCCAATTCCCGTCCTTGTTGTCACCTCCTTGTTGTCACCTCGTCGTTGTCACCTCGTCGTTGTCACCTCGTCGTTGTTGGCATTTGGATCCCTCTCACCTGAGCAGGTGACCTGGAGCTCCCGGCAGCCCTGGGGGGCAGGGAGGGTGATTCCGTCCGGGAATGACAATTCCTTCAGGAATCACAATTCCATCTAGGAATGATAATTCCATCCAGGAATGACAATTGCACCTAGGGATGACAAATCCATCTAGGGGTGGCAATTCCACCTAGGGATGGCAATTCCATCCAGGAATCACCATTCCATCTAGGAATGATAATTCCATCCAGGGATGACAATTCCATCCAGGAATCACAATTGCACCTAGGGATGACAAATCCATCTAGGGGTGGCAATTCCACCTAGGGATGGCAATTCCATCCAGGAATCACCATTCCATCTAGGAATCACAATTCCATCCAGGAATGACAATTCCATCCAGGAATCACCGTTCCATCCAGAAATCACTATTCCATCTAGGGATCACAATTCCATTTAGGAATGACGACAATTCCATCTAGGGATCACAATTCCTTCTAGGAATGATGACAATTCCATCTAGGGATCACAATTCAATCTAGGAATGATGACAATTCCGTCCAGGAA